CAAAGGGCTGCATCCACTTCTCCCGGCATGTACTTCCATACTTCATTTTCCAGCTTGTCTTCTCCTGGTGCTTTTCCTACTTTTAATTTGGCTATCTGCCTCTTGAACTCTTCCTTGCTCATTTCTTCCTGATCCTCTGCTACCAACGTATGTGAATTCTCCTTCTTCTCCTTTTTGCCCATTTACTATACACCATCCTTCTTCTGTTATTTCTTTTATCAGTCTTCTACCTTCCTCATTGATCTTTTCGTCTTTCGACTTTCTTAACCTTACGTCCTTGTCGTCACTATCACTCTCACTATCACTTTCAATAATCCAACCTTCTTCTCTTCCAGTTCTTACATTCCAATCTCCTAGTATAAGTACACATCCACTTTCCTTCGTTTTTACTTTTTTCTTTATAATTTCCATCGTCACTGCTACATTTTGACTATATACTCCTATGATCTTCCACTTCTGATTTCCGTGTTTAATCTCCTGCATTACTATATTATCGCTCCATACTTTATGATTTCTACTCTCCAATTTTTTGCTTATTCCTAATATTACTCCTCCTTTCGCTCTACCTTTTTCATGCTCTCTAGTCGCTGCTGTACACTTCCACTCATAGCTTTTTGACAACTCACTTTCTACATTAGCCCACTTGTCCTGTTTCAACCATGTCTCTACCAACATTATCACATGAAATTCACTGAAATACTTCCACACTTCACTGTCCTTATTTAGCACTCCCGCAATGTTCCACGCACAAACACTAACATTTCTTCTTCTGACTCCCTCTTCCTCTACATCTTCTTGTTCTCCTCATTCTTGGCTCCTTCTTCTTTCCTTTGTAAAATCTCCTTTCCTTTCATCAAATCTAAGCCATTTACCATCGATCAAAATCTTCATATATCCAACTTTTGTACTTTTTCCTTTGTTCCTCTGCTCTTTTGACTTGTTTAAAATAAATCTTTGGATCCCTCTTTCTCTTTCTGTTAGATCACTTTCTATGTAAACTCCTCTCTCCAGATGTTTTTTATTTCTCATTACTTCTTCTTTCAATTCTTTACTTGCCAGCCTTACTACCACCAACTTCCTCACATTTTGCCCAGCGTTTACACTTATCTCTTTAGCCTTCTCTATCTTGACTTTTACTTTTATCTTTTGTTCAATATATTCTTCGACCTTATACTCCAGATTCTCTCCTTCAATATTTGCTCCTTTTATAACAATAAACGGTCTCCTTTTCTCTCTCTCAGCTTTTTCTGTTTCCCATTCCAACTTGATTATTCTTTCTTCTAACGCCTTCTTTTCTTCTGTCCATGTTGCCTTTCTTTTATCCAAATCTGTTTTTCCTCTTTCCAATCTTCTTCTCTTCTTTCTAGACTACTAATCATGCTGTCCAACTTCCTTTCCAACCTGCTCATCTTATCGTTTAATTCTTTATTCTCCTGATTTTCTTTTGTAAAATTTAATAGAGTCTGTTCCTTTAGTTTTCCGCTCACTAATACCTTTCTTTATTATCCCCTATTCTTACTACCCACTCCTTACTTGCCTTACACGTGTTCCGTTCTCTTTACCCTGACACTACCACACTAATCTTACTTCATCCTTTCAAACTTTCATAATTATTCACTTTACACTTTTTTCTCTGCTGCTTCTTCACTTTTTACACTTCTTCGTACTTTTTATTTCTTTTATTTTTACTTTAATTACTTTTTATTACTCTTTTCTACGGAGCGTTTTCTCGACACGTCCGCACTCTCTTGCATGCACAACGGAACTCGCCTGTTATTTTATATTAAAACGTTTTAAATTAGCATCCTAAACATTATCTTTAATTATTAAATTCAGCTGCTAACACTGTATTTAATTTCAATGCCTTATGATTCTTAATAGATTGTCGAATTTGCTGAACAAATTTTAGTTTAGCATCTTTAACAATTTTTTCACATCTAAGTACTTCAAATTCACAATCAAAATTGCCGTAACACTATTTTAAAATGCAGTATATACATCATTTATATTTACGGATTCAACGTTCTCAACATTTAAAACTACAATTGCTGATGTCGCTATGCCATTTTTGAAAGCATTGGCTGCTGGTGCCACTTTTTTCATTGTCTGATATAAATACTTCAGATTCATTCCTGAATAATTTTATTTCTTTCTCTACTTCCAAACGATCGTAAAAAGTCTGTATGGCACTTTTTAGTAAAACCACGACAGATTGTAGTTTTTGTTTTTCTGATGTCGTCAAATTATTATTACCTTAAGTAAAACATCAGTATTCTCAAGAATTGTAAGACTAACGTCCAACAGTCCTTAAATATGACATGTATCATTTGACATGTATTATTGACTTCATTATTAATTATTTGTTGAAATGATTGCCAATTGCAATGAGCCACATATTTAGAACGTTGAACAGAAGCCATACTAAAACTCGTACTTGAAAGTTTACGAGTGTTACATTCGTGTAGAAATAAGCTGCTAAGCTAATATATCCCCTAAAATTCTTTCGAAATATAGTGGAAAGAAGAGGAGAGACTTTTATTAGAAAGTGATAGGAAAGGGAGAGTAAAGTGGCATGGATGTTTTTATAAGGATATATTATGAGTCTTTAGTGACAGGATTCAGTCATTTATTTGTGCTGAACTGAGCAACATCAGTTTCCTTTAATCAAAATGAAGTACATCGTAGACTTTTAGAGTTTCGAAAACTTTGGCAATATTTTTATTTTTAAGAAGATTTCTTCAATTTTTTTGAGAGAAGGACGCCTTACCTGTAAATAGAGTGTTTAAGCTACCTATTCCATGAGAATATTTATCAAAAAAAATTGAAATAAACATAAAAATCCGAACCAATGGTCGGAGCGTAATTGTTATGGCATAAGCTGGAATTTTGGCAACGTTTTTTACAAGGGAGGACTTGATTACATTAAACGCATGCTGGTTGATGTTAAAGAGGTTAATGTCAAGGACCGTGAAAAGAAAAATTGTCTACAAAGATTATTATCATGCCAGCATGTATTTGAAATCACTAATGAATAAAAAATGCATTGAGTATTATTATAAATTTTTTATGTTTTAAACTTCAGAGTTACCAAAATCGAGGAGTATGAATGTCCAGCTCTTATTAATCTTACGTGGAACTATATACCATGTAAACATCATAACTTTAACATGGGTCCAAGAAGAGTTCTAAAGAATGTAGTAGCTATAAAAGACTAGATCCAAAAAAATTCAAAAGAATGAAATTTTGAACGTTATATATAGTACTATCTATTTATCTTTATATGTATATAAATGAATGTCTGTGTGTATGTTCCCCATGAATTTCAAAACTACTTGACCGATCAGGATGAAGCCTTGTAAATATGTTGTGTGAACATCGGCGGAGGTTTCTGAAATAGTAGACTGTTTTTTTTTTTTTTTTTTTTTTTTTTTTTTTTTTTTTTTTTTTTTTTTTTTTTTTTT